TAAAAAAAAAAATATGACCAAAATACAAATTTTCCACATAACTATCGCCGTGGAAAAGTTAAGGAATCGTCGCCATCTTGGACCACACGGAATTACCTAACCTTTTGACACGAACCTGGCCTCGATAAACGCGCGGGGAGACGTAGGGAAAGGGAGCCAACATTTTCCCGGCAATTAAACACAATTGTCGCTAAGTGCCCGTTTCCGAACATTAAATATCCCCGAGGCTCGGTCGGGGGCCACCAAAACGAATCCTCCGGGACGCGGAGGCCGGAAGAATTTATGCCCGCTCGTTGAAAAAGTCTTCCCCCCTCCTCAGACTGATTTCACCGTAGCAAATTACTTCTTTGAATCAAGCAGACGAGCACACGCTTCCTACGCGATCCGTTTAAGGGTTTGTATTTGAATAAATTAAATAGAAAACGGTCGTGGAACGTTGGACCCGCTGGCTGTCGTCCGATCACCGAAGTGCAGCATCATGGGGCCGCGTGCACCAGGAGATGATGGGTGACCGCTCGAGGAAAAAAATACACACCACACCACGATTTATTCTCGGTATTATATATGTATATATAATATATGTTTATATTATACCCCTCTCTCTATCGGTTTTGTACGTAATTGGGAATTATTTACCTGTGTTAATATTAATAAATAAATGGAAAGGAAAAATAAATGTAATTCCGAAAGTAACAAAAAGAGTTTCTTTTACAGTGTACAAATACGAGTGGAGAGTATAACACGACGAATAAAACAAGAAACTACTACCATTGCAGAGAAAGGAAAATACCACTGGATCCAAAAGCAATATAATGGATGATAAGAGTTGGTAAAAAGGTTTCAAAATTGTGTGTGTCCCATAATCCGAGTCCCGGAACCCGAGACTCTTAAAATACGCGAAACCATCCCGGGATCCGCGTCGTTTCTAAAGCGGAAGTCGCGCCATTGTCGTGTTCCTTAACGCGATCACGGTCTTCCGGACGATGCCACCGACGCGGCCCACGGTCTAATACCAACCATAACGCGACGATGCATTATCCGTATCGCTTTCGAGCGTCGAAAATACCAGGGTGGAAAATATAAAAATGACTGGTAAGAACGCGCCACGCGAGGAGAGAGAGAGAAAATAATAAAAAGGCGGAGACGACGAGCGCAGCAGCGCCCCCTCTAGAGAGTCTCCCGACGGAAGAGAAATAAACGGCGTAACTCAAAGGGACGAGAGAACGGAACTTGGAAACGCGAAAACAGAGGGCGGAAAGAGAATTCTCTAGCGCGACAGAATATTGCGCTAAATAAAAGAACGGAAGTCGTACCCAGGAAGGAAGATAAGGGGAAACGAATCGCGGGAGAAGATAAATAGTGGAAGATGTGAAAGAGGGTCGACGTTGGAAACGATACAGAATGGAGGATATATATAATCTTTGCTCGCGGCTGTGTATAAAAATAACGATTAAATTTGATGGATAAAAAATATTTAAAAAAAAAAAGAAGCTACCTGACCCAAACTATATTCCAATTGTCCAAAGAGGTTCTCCAATTATTCGTCGCGGTGCGTTTCGGTGGTCGTAAGTGTTTCAGGGTTAAAATGCAACGGTGAAGGAGCAACGAGAGAGAGAGAGTCAAAGAGAACGGGCGATTTGAAAAGCAGCGGGAGACCGAGCGAGAGACTCTCGTAGGTCAACGGAGAGGTAAGGCTAAGGTGTCGCAGCACACAGAGAGTGGCGACGGACAATGGATGCGTAGTTAGTAAATTACAGGCTGGCTGGCACAATGGCGTGCAGAGCCTACGCCTATGGTACGGTGTGTGCGTGTGTTTGTCTATGGTCGTCTCTCGTGGCGCACGGTTTACAGAGCGACGCGCACCGGCGCGTATCCACGGCTCGTCCATGCGTGCAGAGTCTGCGTGGGAGATTCACGGTATATATCAATCCGATCTGCATGTACCTGTACATTGCGCCGCCTGCGTTGGATACCTGCCGCAAGATTTCCCTGTGTCCTCCATTTCCCATTGCGGGACCACTCCCGGGGTCTCGATGTTTGTGAAAGCGCGATCGTTTCGGGACACGCCGTGCGACCGCGAGAATCCACGCTGCGGTATAATAATTCGGCTGTTCCGTGGTTGGTAACCGGAGTTCCCAGTTTCCATCAAAAAAATGGCGGGGAAAATTAATTTCGAATCCCAAAGTCTTCAAAGTCCCACGATTGTTAACACTAGATTTACTGATATTACTGGTATATTTATTGATACCTTTCATGTTGACGATTACCTTACAATACGATTTTTCTTTTAATTAGAATATGTATTCGTGCCATTGCATCGATCAAATTCAACACACAAATTTAAAATATTTTTTCAAATACACTACGGGGAATATAATTTCGTGAACCCGTGGTTATTTAATAAAAAAAAAATTCCAGGTAATTCTCGGTATAAAAAAAAAAAATAGAAGTCAAGAAGCAGCGAATAATTTTGCTGGAGCCGTTGTTGCCGCGCGATGACCACTCTCAGCGCCAGTATTAATTTGTACAAGAGCGTGTTATACGCGTCCGGGCAAAATTACTCCCAAGTCGGTCGCATTACTTCGCTGTAACGAAATTCAACTACCGCATAATTACCAGAGTTTCGCCCCGGCGTTGGGAAACTGCAGGACATTAGAAAACTTTCGTCACGGTACCCTTGTTTATTAATAAATTATGGATATTTGATTACGGCTCGTCGACGGGACGGTGTTTTCGTCGTGCAACCTCGCGGAGTAATAAATACGTCCATCGTGATGAAACGGAGAAAAACATCGATGAATTTGAAAACTTCGAGGAAATAAAAATATTCTGATCCCTGGTAACGTTTTGATTGTGTATAAAGTTTGTAATGTAACGATCGAAGGAGATACTTCGTGGTTTTTGTGTAATATGTGGCGACACATCTCGCGCTCGTCGCCAGGGGGCTGCGCTCTCAACTCTCTCGCAAGCGCTCGACCGACCGTCTAGTGGTATACGCTTCTCGCTACATTCCAGTGTGCGAATAAAAACACCCAGACCCATCCTAAACTAACAACCCCCACTATCATACTCTCATCGCATGATGCATGAAAACGAGTTTTTTGAAAGTTTTCCCTCGAGCCCGAACTCAAGAAATACCGCAACCCCTAACATAAATATACCCAGACACTAACAGTCATTCTAAATGCAGGTTATGGGGCCCCAGCCCCAGGTACTGCAACCAAACAGAAAAAAAAAACCTTCCAAGTGTCTCTGTTTCTGAGACAGGGCCTGCTAGGCTTGTTCCAATCCGTAACTATATTATAGTATACCCAAAAGACGACTTCACACAACAACAAAAATATGATAATTGGTATTATATGTTGTGTTAGTTTTACAAGGAACATCTATTATTATAGATGGTGTGGGGGTTACCTATCACTATAATAATAATATACGCATAATAACGAGGAATTTTGAGCCCCAATTTCCCCCAGCACAGAAGAGAGATGGCACTTTGCGACTCGAGCCAATAATTTCCGGGACAAACCTAACAATCGTCGCGACACGCGTCCTATATATCGGCCCCAATGAAAATACTCCGGTGGTTGGTTGGTGCATTCGAAACATCAGCAGCAATTTGGCAGTGATTTATGGGCATCCTTGGGGACAATGGCGCGCCAGCATAATGGCGACTGTTTCGTTCCTGTGTACCGTGAGCGATTTCGGTCTCCGGGCGAACTAGAGTGAAAGCGTTAATGATGCGTCCTAAGTCCCCGGGAATCGTCGGTCACCGTTGACCTCCCCCGGCATATTCGACGTCGCGAATCGACGAGCAACCGTAGGCTCCGGGTGACCACCGAATAACACGAGTACACTCAGGGTCGACGTATCACCAGGGGAGGGGGGAGGGGGAGAGAGTCCACCCTGACATTAAAATCCGCCCTATTGAGACTCCTCGAAAGTTCGAGCCGACCGACGACGACGAGTTCGACTAATTAGAGTCGTCTGAAAGCGGACCGCTCATTAACGGGGCGCACGGCGATTTATCGTCAGCCAGCCGTTGGCCAACCGAGGGGGGGCGAAGGGGGGAGAAGGTTGGACCGGGAAAAGGGGACGGGGGCGGAGACGAAGCGAAGATTTCGGTCCGAGAAACAAAGAAGGGTGGCCCCCGGAGGAGGAAATGAAGCGTGTCGAGGCTGGAAAGAAGCCGAAGGAAAAATTAAAGGCGGAGAATCGAAGGGGGGGGGGGGGGAGAGAGAGAGAAGCTTCCACTTTCGCGCGGAGGGTGGACTGACCAGAGATGGGAGGGGGGACGAGATCATTCGTATTTCGCGCTGGCGGAGACGTCGGCGTTGTAGCAGGCGGTCGCGCCGGGGTAATACTTTATTTGTCCGCCCCTGGACCTTCTTTCTTTTCCGTCTTCCAAAGCGCGCCGACGTTTCACCGACGGCTGTGCTCGACCGCGATTCTTTTCACACTCGGCCATCTTTTCCGCCATCTTTCTTGCTAATTATCGCGCGGCCACGAATCTACCCTCCGTTAACACGTTCACCCGGCGGATCAAAATAGTATATTTTGCAAAAGTAACAGTTTTATTTTTATTTATTATCGAAAATTTGTTTCGGTACTTATTTTTGTAACCTTGTTGAGATTCACAAATTCTATTCAAATTTATTTCCCTCGACGTCTTAACTTGAAAACTAATTTTTCTAGCATCATAGTGGTAAATTCTGTGACCCATATATGGGTCACAAGACAGTAAAAGTCGAATTCGATCGTCGTCGACGCCATATTTGTTATTAGCTGTGGCGCGCGCAAGCTCGTCTAACCTAAACGTCGCGAACGACGACGTTAAAAAGTTTCTTTGACCAGGAGACAAACTCCTATTTTTATTTTTGTTTATCCGTTGTGTCTGTCTATATACGTAGTTGCTATTTATATTTTTAATTTGGAGGATTCGTTTAAACAATGTTTGCGATTCGTTATTTCGTATTTGCGTTTTGTAAATATGTGCCTACCTTGATAAAACGCTTCGCCTTGGTCAGGAGCCCCAAGGTGGTGTGTCTCGAGGTTTCTGGGCCCAACGGAACCAATACCTTCAGCTTTTCAAGGCAATTTCTGAGGTGCGCTCTCCTGCAACAAGCACAAACAAATTTACACGATTAATTTCACAACGCCATTCTCTTTCACCTAATCTATAATTTCTTAAATATTCAAAAACAAGACGATCGACCAGGTCTAATTTTTTGACGAAATATTTAAATATTATTTACTTTCCCAAGATTTACCAAGTGTCATATATATTTATTCAAGAATTATTCCGTTCAGAATGGAGTTTAAAGTATTCGCGATAACCAGAGATCGCGCTCGAGAAACGCCGTGCACTGATCGACTCGAAACTTTACCGCGCTCGTAATTCGTCGCGCGTGGGTGAAGGGGGAGGGGCTTCGAATTACCCGAAAGCCTCCCTGGCATCCGTTTTTCGTGTCACGTAGGCCACGACGATGAATGGAGCCCGGAATCTCGCCCGCTGGAACCTGGGAACTCCCGCGAATCGAGGGACAAAATCAGAAACGGGCAAGATTTCTCGACCGGATAAACAACGTTTATCGAGGTCTTCGTTCGATAAAAATTATATATCCGAGGGAATAAAAATTTATCCTCCGTCAATAACAGCCTGGAAAATTGTTACGCATGCGCGTAGTAAAATTTCTGAATTATAAAAATGCTATATATCTCGAGAGCAGCCCGTAATAGAGGTTATCGTTCGAATAAAATTTCGTCTCCAATCCCACGGTTCAACGAGTAACAGAGACGTGCGTTGTTCCAAATTTTCTTTTTCTTTTTCTTTTTTTTTTTTATCCCATTTGGATAAGAATTTTACTCGTCTATGGTCCTCCCTTCGTCCTTGGAAACGTTGATCTCGTCGCGAAACCGGCCGGAAACAGCGATAAGATCCCGATTATCGCTGCGATCACGGGCCATTAGCCGAACGAATCGCGCGATAAACATACATTCGGAATACGAAAGCAGGAAACGCGCGGGAATTATTTCCCTCCCGGAACACCCTGCGGCGACCGTTGAAACGGAGAAATGGGACGCGGGTCTCCGCGAAGAATTCCCCCTTTCGGGTCGTTTCCACCGGGCAATTCGATAGACGTTGTTAACGATTATCGAACGAGTATCGATAACTTGTCGATAAGCGCTAAGGAGGAGAGGAAATTCTTTGCGAATTTCTTCTACGAGAACTATAAGTGCGAATGATCTGAGATTTTAATGCTACATCGCTGAGTATATTTACTATGCTCTGAGATTTTTCTTATCGTCAAAATACGGACGGAGTCGACCGCAAAAATTCTTGATCCGGACTTGGAATATTCACGCGAGTGTAAGTAGAAATAATCAATAATGGTCAGACCATTAAAATTTTATGAAAGAAAATATTCTATATTTTTTATTTAGAATCCCCCACCCTCTCTTTTTATGTACTCTGTATATACCGAAAATAATTTTTCCAGAACGATTTGAAATTTTTTTTTTCGGTCGAAAAATTTCACACCTCGAATTTTTTTCTAGAAAGTGGGTAGGATTTCGAGGGTATGTCTAATGACCAAAAATGATTGTAATTGACCCCCGCAACCGAAAATAATTTTTCCAAAACGATTTGAAATTGTTGAATTTAATTGTTAATAACTTTTTACCGAAGCCTCGATCAACAAATTGGTATTCTTGATTTTCGTCTTATTTTTAAATAAAAACAGTTTTACAGTTTGCTCGAATAAATGTTAACAATTATAATATGTATCATCGAGTTGGCTTCGTTAAAATGTCCGTGTCTGACTTTTATCCCGAAAAAGGAAACGAATTCTCCGCACGGCGTAATAATTGACATCGTAATGAGCTGTTATAATAGCCGTTGTGCGGCCCGTTTCTGGTAACCGACCCACCACCCCCCGCTCGACTGACCACACTGCTCTCACGCTATATTATTTGAATGAAGTCCACAAACAAAATCAGCAGGTCTCATAACAGTTTCAACGGTGCCATTTATACCTTTGAAACAATTTCACCGGCCGCTTCCATATTAATTTAAGGGATTATTTGCTCGAAAGTTCCCAAAACTGGCCAGTTTTTGACAATTCTTTTCCCCCCGTTTCGTACTAAAAAATTCACAGAATTATGCAGATTGGGTTCATCGATGCTCGCTGATTATTTTCAAAAATTCTGTTCGTTAGAAACTATTTTATTTCGATGAGAATATTTTAATACCAAGCAAAGGATTTCATTTCACCCAAAAATTATTTATAGAACAACTCCGTTCGCTCGCGGTACGCAAGAATAAATTTCCAGCCGTTATCGAACCGCGTGACGAGGCGAAATAAATTCGCCATTTTTATACTTACGAGCCACGCGGATTCCCATTGTCGGGCGCGTGCTGCGCAAACAGGGGAAAAACCCCCATCTGGACGCGTGTCAAGCAATCCAAGCGAACATCAGAAACACAATGCTTTTTGCGTGCGCGATAAACGCGAGCAATAATTAACACCTTCGTGACCAGTCGTTTAACGGGGAAAAAAGAAAAAGTGTTTTTAATCAGGCTCGCATTCGAGCCAATTTACATCGCTATCAAAACGCAATGCTCCACCCCGACAAAAATCTATTTTCATTATTCCCGATAAAAATAAACTTCGTAAACAACGTAAATATATTTACGAGCATTCATCGTGTATTATAACTCTTACGATATTTAGAAGAATCTTTCTACGAAAAATAACGGTTATTCTGCAGTTTAGTGACTCTGCCGTTGGAAGACGAGATAAGATCAACGGTTTCTATGTCCGTCTCGGTTGTTTCCATTCGCGAGACAAGGATGGACACAGAAACGCTGTGACCTCGCAACGGAAAAAAATCGCTCGCTCCTCCGCATCCAGCTTAAATTTATTTTCCAGCGCTACCGCACTCGCTCCGCCTGTACGTGTGCGATAAGCTCGCGTGGCTGTAACGGTCCGTCGATCGTCTTCTGTTTACATCGAGCTGACCCTGGACAGGCGAGCCTATACAACGGGTGGACGAAAAAATTTAATTCCACTTTTTTAAGACCCCCTGATCATATTTAAATTATTGAAAAAAAAATAAATTCTTTTTTATTATTGCTATATATGGGCGTACATATGTATATCATTTCAGATATCACTTCTGATACATCTGGCAACGTATAACCATTACTGCCGGCCTCTGCTAACCTCTGCCAACATGTGCGGGCTTCTGCCTGCCTCTGCTGGCCCCTGCTGACCACTGCTGACCACACCTGATGCTACCGACAACGTATAACGATTACTACTGATTACTGCCAGCCTCTCTCAGCCTCTCTCAGCCTCTGTTGGCCTCTTCTGACCTCCGCTTATATTTCTGACGACGTATAACGATTACAACTTGCCACTGCTTGCCCCTGCTGGCCTCTGCTGACCACTGCTGACCACTGCTGACCACCACCGATGCTTCCGACAACGTGTGACGATTACTACATGTTACTGGTTGCCCCTACTGGTCTCTGCTTGCCTTTGCAAGCCTCTGCTGTCCCCTGTTGACCCCTGCTGACCCCTGCTGACCCCTGCTGACCCCTGCTGACCCCTGCTGACCCCTGCTGACCCCTGCTGGCCACTGCTGACCACTGCTGACCCTTGTTAACAACTTCTGACATGCTATATATGTATTAAAACATTGTATAATGTAAATCTATGGCAATAAATGATATAATTACAAAGAATTCTATGTGTTCTCATCACTTTTTACCTTTCTTTTCCTCTCCAAATCATTACCTTAGTTATAAGACTCCCTGAAACTCCTTGGTGTCCCTGAACCCACTAGGAAGTCCTGAAACTCAGAACTTTGCTTAAAATTCGGAGTTTCGAAGAATTTTCGGCGTTTCCAAGAAATTCCAGGACTTCCCAGTTGTTTCAGGATTTTCCAGCTGTTTCAGGACTTTCCAGCTGTTTCAGGACTTTCCAGCTGTTTCAGGACTTTCCAATTGTTTCCAAAATTCCAAGGGGGTTCAGAACTTTTTCGTTGTTTCAGGACTTTCCAGCTGTTTCAGGACTTTCCAGCTGGTTCCAAAATTCCAAGGAGTTTCAGGGCTTCCTAGTTGTTTCAGGACTTTCCAATTGTTTCAGGACTTTCCAGTTGTTTCAGGACTTCCCAATTGTTTCAGGACTTTCCAGTTGTTTCAGGACTTTTAATTTTTTATTTTGGCAGCAAGTACGAGAGCTGGACACTTTGGGAGTCCAATTTTAACCGGAAAAACGGTCTCTTAAAACTAAGGCAATGATTTGGAGAGGAAAAGAAAGGTAAAAATGATGAGAACACATAGAATTCTGTTAAATTATATCATTTATTGCCATAAATTTACATTATACAAGGCTTGAATACTTATACATCATGTCAGAAGTTGATAACAAAGGTCAGCAGTGGTCGGCAGGGGGATGGAGAGGCATGCAGAGACGAGCAGGGGCAAGCAGCGGCCAGCAGTGGTCAGCAGGGGCCAGTAGAGGCCAGTAGAGGCCAGTAGAGGCCAGTAGAGGCCAGCAGAGGCCGGGAGAGGCTGGGAGAGGCGAGCAGTAGCCAGTCGTAATGGTTATACGTTATCAGAAATATAAGTGGTGGTCAGGAGAGGCCAACAGAGGCTGGGGGAGGCTGGCAGTAACCAGTAGTAATCGTTATACGTTGTCGGAAGTATCAGGTGTGGTCAGCAGTGGCCAGCAGAAGCCAGCAGAGGCTGCGAAAGGCTGGCAGTAGCTAGCAGTAATGGTTATACGTTACCAGATGTATCAGAAGTGATATCTGAAATGATATACATATGTACGCTGATACATAGGAATAATAAAAAAAGAATTTATTTTTTTTTCAATAATTTAAATATGATCGGGGGGTGTTAAAACGTACGCGTGTGAGTAGTGCACCCGGTGCTCAATCTGGCATCACTGCTGTCGAGATGCTGATTAACACTAGAACTCCCCAAACCATTCAAAATGACCCATTCGTAATTTGTAATAAAGCACATCTATGCTCGTTTATTTATTGTCCACTTTATTTCGTAACAACATCCCTCCCAAGAAAACCGTTTCCAATCTACTGAA